CCAACCTCAATTTCTATCTTTGAATTCTTTGTTTTTCCAGCAAAGTTCAAGTCCTGTATGGTGGCAACGAAATCTTTGACTACGAAGTCACGTCCACGTTCTGGAGTGACGTCCGCCTGGCCATAATCTCCCTCATCGCCATTTTTGTGTTGATGTTGGTGTTGTCTCTGTCGCTGTACCTCACCGTCATCGGCATCGTCATCATCGGCCTCAGCTTTCCCATTGCTTTTTTCTTCTACCGGATTGTATTCGGCATCAATAAGCTGGGCATTCTGAATGGAGCGGCAGCGTTCGTTATCATTGGTATTGGTGAGTATCTTAGCAGTTGTTTGAACTTTTTGAGAGTCAGTGATCTCTTTCTTTTTAAGAGTCAGTGATCTTTTTGCAGTGTAAGGATCTTTTACTTTTAGTTTCAGTTTGGTTAAAGTTTACAACACACGCAACTGCATAAGTTCATATGAGCATACAATACACAAGCTGGTTGTTTGTTTTTTGTTTTAGTAGAGTTTTTACAGCGCTCGTAACTGCATAAGGTTATATGGATGCTAAGGGGTGGATGTCAACAGAGAAATCCTTACAGGGAATCAGGCTCACTCAGCTCACCTCTCTAGCTTCAACAGCACAAAGTCTGCTTCCACCACGAAGGCATCCCGGAAATAGCGGGTCACAAGAGTGTGATAAACATACAAAAGAAGTAGAGGAAAAATGACGATAGTAAGGATTAGGAAAGAAAAAGCAGCTGTTCCCTGTCGCACTTCAGGCACATTCATGAGCTTGACATTGATAAATCAGCCCATTTACAATTTTACTGTGCATAAGAACATGTTAATGTCCTCCCTTTGGGAATGACCTAAAGACACTTCAGTCAGTGGCACCGCCCTCCGGGGGTACAAGTTGGTTGTTTTCACATTAGTTTTTAGCACAGCTTGGTTTTTCTTTGCTGGCTAAAATGGTTGAAGAATCTCTTCACTATCTTTCGAAAATGAATAAAACATGTTTGATTAATTTTGTTTTAATTTATAATCAGCTATAATCTTTTGTGTCAAAGACATGCTGAAGTACATTTGTTAGAATTTGATCAATTTGTGGCAAAATGATGGCTATTGTCCTGCTGTAGAGGAAAGTCTGGTGTCTAGATGTTGAATCTATACACTGTGGGTGGTTGGCGGGTGCTCTGGTGTGGTTTGCTTCTTCTTTCCTATCGAACATCTATCATCTTTAGCTCCCCTTCTTCATTTTTGTGTTTGTTACTCTCTTGTAACACCCCTAATCTTCAACACTTATCTGACCTTATTGTGTTGCAAGTGCCGTAAAACTCTTACTAAAACTAAACAAACGAACCTATGCACTTACTTAGTAGAATTGTAATGAGGTTTGTTCCTTAACTGTTTGTGTGGGTGGTTGGTGGGTGCTCTGGTGGGGTTTGCTTCTTCTTTCCTATCAAACATCCATTATCCTTATCTCCCCTTCTTCTTTTTTGTGTTTGTTACTCTCTTGTAACACCTCTAATCTTCTGGCGCTCATATGACCTTATTGTGTTGCAAGTGGCGTAAAACTCTGGCTAAAACAAAAAAACGTACTGTTTTTTAATTCTTTCCAGGCGTGGATGACGTGTTTGTGTTCATCAACATCTACCGCCAGTCGTCGCACCTGAAGGACCCGGTCAAGCGGATCATCTACACGGTGACCACGGCGGGAGTGGCCACCTTCTTCACCTCTTTCACCACAGCTGCCGCGTTTGCTGCCAATTTGACCTCAGCGGTAACACCATGGATTTTATTTTGCTTTTAAATTGAATGGATAAAAAAAAAAAATGAGTTCCTGACTTGTGGGGGGGAGGGGGGGGGGGGTAAACGTGGAGGCCTACTTCCCCCCCCCCCCCCCCCCCCCCGTTTTCGGGGCCAAGTTTTTTTTTTTTTCTGGACTTGTTGAAACGAAAAAAAAAAAGAGGGGTTGTCTTTTCCCCTGAGGGGGGGTGGGGAGGATTTGTGGCCTGGGATAATTGCACAAGCTGAGTGTAGACAAGGCGCCTCTTTTGCTAAATCGTGCAACTTTGACAGCCATTTTCTTTCTAATTTTACCTCTGAAACCAGGCGACCCTCACCTGCTTCAATCGCTAATATCTGGAGTTGCATCGAAGGTAAATGAATATTTTTTTCCATCAAAAGCAAGGCAAATGGACAGTCTTTAGGATGATACCAATACTTCCGTATGCCCCAAAATTGACGAGCGCCTGATTCCACTGCGTCGTGACACAATACATTATATATATATATATATATGGTTTTCAGATCCCAGCGGTGTACGACTTTGGTCTGTTCATGTCGCTGATCGTCTCCTCCTGCTGGGTCTCGGTGATCGTGCTGATGCCGCCGTTGCTGTACCTGCACGCTTGCTTCATCGAACCCCTCGAGATGCTGCTCTTCTCGTAAGTACAGCGCCATTGAATTTGTTAACCCTATCCGTACGCCCTGAGGTAAATTTGTACCCCCAGGGTTGTATTCTTCACATTTTAGAATACTTCTAGTACGAAAATCTCTTTGAAACTTTCAGTATTTCTCAAAAAATCATTTTGACAGACTGCTATGCAAAGCGTACGGATCGGATTAACGGGTAAATTTCTTCTTTGGAAAATGGTGACACAGAGGTCCCCACATCGTATGGATATGATAGTAAAACACGACGTACGGATAGGGTTAAAGAATTTCTAAGTGCAGGGGTTCGTTTGAGGGGGTGAGATGCAAAACCTGCTTAGCGACAGTTTGGAAAAAAATGGAGATTTTTTGCTTATATTATAAATGTTACCGGCTATCGGATACACAAAGTGTTTTCAACCAAAACCCAACTCATACTTCATAAAAGCCAACAAAAAATCTTTTTATGCATGTTCCTGCGTTTAGCAGCTTTAAAAGAAGTTGATTTTCTCAAAAGTGCTAAAATGGATGCAGCGAGTTTTGCATTTTAGCCCCTCGTTAATTTTTTTTTAACACCCTCATTGATACAATTTAGATCGTTTAGGAGGCGGGATTCGACATGTGGAGAGGGAAACACCATCCAGGCGAAATACCCTACCGCAATACTTGATAAAAATATTCCCCATATGAGAATTGAACTTATGTCTCCTCTGTTCTATAGCCAGGGATGTAAATCTTCCGGCTTTTTCCGGTTTTTCCGGCCGACTTGCCATTTGGGCCCCAGCTTTTAACAAAAGTCTTTAGTTTTAGTAGAGATTTTACGGCGCTCGCAACTGCATAAGGTCATATGAGTGCCAGAAGAAGATTAGAGGTGTTACAAGAGAGTAACAAACATAAAAAAGAAGAAGGGGAGATTAAGACGATATATGTTTGATAGGAAAGAAGAAGCAAACCACACCAGAGCACCCGCCTACCACCCACAACAAAATTCTACTATAAACAATACATATATATATATATATATATACTAAATTGAGAGTATTAGTTGTAATAGAGGGAAAGAAACATATAATTTCGTCTCACTGTATTCTTATTTCAGTCAGTGCGCGCGCGCGCCACATATTTTCTGGCTTTTAAAAAAACAAACCTGTTTACGTCCCTGTATAGAGAAACACCTAACAGCTACACCACAGATGTTGTTGTCATTGATTTGGTGAAAAGGATGAACTCAAGCTCTGTGAATGACACCTTTGTTAGAAATATGATATGCGTATAATCACTACAATGACACTTCTTGCCGAAAGCAGTGAGAAGGTATATTTTTGAAGAGAAAGAGATACTGTTAAGGCAAATAATGTTTAACGCATCCTTTGTTGTGTTCAAGTGATTGTGGTTGGCTGTTTTTGTTGATAATACCATTGATGAATTGGGTGTATTAAAAGTGAGATATGTGGGTGGTTGGAGGGTGCTCTAGTGTGGTTTTCTCCTCCTTTCGTATCAAACATCTTTTGTCCTAATCCCTCCTCCTTTTTTTTTAGTATATTACTCTCAAGTAATTAAATACCACTAACCTTGGGCACTTATTTGACCAAAGTGTGATGCAAGTGCTGTAAATCACTTATTACTAAATCTAAAAATGAAGTAGTCTAGGAAAATGTTTTGTTTTTGTGTTACCACCTTTTCAGTGATGCCGTGACTACCACAACTTAAAAAAAAAAAGAAGAAATATTGCTGTCAGATTTCTGATCCTTTGTCCTTTCCTCTGGCCTCACTCAAATCAATAATGAACTTTAGCTGTGGGTTGGGAGGAGAATGACGCGTGAGTGATATTATTCCCCCCCCGAGGCAGTAATAGTAGACACTGTACATTGTTCTATCAGGGTTAGATTAGATGTGGAGACTCACATGACAGAGCCCGTCGTTCGATAGTAGAAAACGTCTACAATCCGTGTATAGCTGGACAAAGTTGGCCTGAATGCTGGAGAAAAAAAAAAATCAGCGACAGAAAATTGCCCAACGGCCAGAAAAATGATGTATTCTTTGATTTCATTATTTTGACGAACTCCGGATTTCACTGCGGGTGGTTGGTGGGTGCTGTCAGACATCCATCGTCCTTATCTCTCCCCGTTTTTTGTGTTTGTTACTCTCTTGTAAACACCTTTAATCTTTGTCACGTATATGATGACCTTATTGTGTTGCAAGTGCCGTAAAACTTTTACTAAGTGGGTGGTTGACGGGTGCTCTTGTGTGTTTTGCTTCTTCTTTCCTGTCAAACATCTATCGTCCTTATCTCCCCTCCTTTTTTGTGTTCATTACTCTCTTGTAACACCTCTAATCTTCTGGCACTCATATGACCTTATGCAGTTGCGAGCACCGTAAAACCTCTACTAAAACTAAAATCTAAAACTTATGTGATGACCACCTTATTGTGTTGCAAGTGCTGTAAAACTCTTACTAAAACTAGAACTGATTCCACCACGACACCTCACACACTATGTTTTTCTCTCTCCCACATGACCCAGGTGTTTCTCGTGTCAGCGAGGGTCGAGCAGCGCGGGCGGTCAGCACCACCAGCTGGCTCACTACACGGAACAGCAGAGTGGGGAGAACAGCCTGTACCGGGAGGACGATGTGGCCATGCTGGATGTCAACGAGGCCGGTGAGTCGCTCGTTAGTCGCTCATTCTTTGTGGGAGGTTGCACAAGAACATGTTAATGTCCCCCCTTGTGGAATGGCCCAAAGACACTTCAGTCAGTAGCACCGCCCCAGGGGGTGTCTGTGTTTAGTTTAATATGGGGTTTTACGGCGCTCGCAACTGCCTAAGGTCATATGAGTGCGGTGTCTGTGACCGTAGCAGTATCACATACACGACACCAAAACCAGCACCCCGTGCCAGTTAACACTTTTCTGACAGCGGACCTGGCCTCGCTGGACCGAGAGCCGCAAAATACGGCTTGGGTGGCTCGCTATCTATGCCGATCCAGTATTGAAATTCTTGGCTGATCCAAGTTTCTCAAAATATTAGAATAGACTTCCTGTTAGCCGATACGAAAGAAAATATAGCACTGAGAGACGATTTTCAGTCATTTCAGCACTTTTTTTGTCCCTTTCAAAACGTAAAAATGAGAAGAAAAGAGCTCCCCTGACTTCAGTATATGTCTCATATTTTCACTTCTGTTTTAGGTACACATACATAACTTTCAGCATTTTTTTGCATTACTTGAGGCAACCTACCAGGGAAGTTTGAATGATGCTGTTGTTGTACTTTTTTAGATATGACCTTTCAAAGCTGGAAAATTGTTGATTTCATATGGCACCTTCGATATTGCATAATCACTTTAAGAAACCCCAAAGTAATATAATTGGAATAAATCTTCATTATTGTATCGCCATCTCATAGATTATTTTTTCACCTTCAGTTTGATGGGCCATATGATATGGTTTGTGTGTGTTTAGTTGGATGTTTTGACCTTTTCCTGTGGTGGGGTCGGTAGGGGCGTAAAAATAGGCCAGGGAAAACCCCTGGGCCAGTGGTGGATTTTGGCCTGGTAGGAATAGAGTTAACAGCTGGTTGGATATTCTCCTGGACAGACCGAAGGGCTAGAACCCAAATGGCCGCTGGATCGGAAAAGTAAAGTAAAGTAAGTATATTCTCCTGGCTTTTCCACGCAGGTTGCTGTCTCTCCCCGATCCTCAAGAAACACCAGTTTTCCTTACTCTATCCAATCTATGATTTCTCACCGGATTAAGATGTGCCTGTTGTTTTGCTTTGTTTCCCTCAGATGGAGCTCCCATGTGGGAGGCTGATGACGACATCTTGCTGATGGACGACCCCTACAGCGTCTCCGACAACGTGCGGGCTGAGCCTGATGGGACAGAAGACGTGGACGTGCCGTTGTTGAACACGTCCTCCAGCCCGGCTTTCTCGGGTGAGTTAGGCCTTCCTGTGGCCTTGAAACAACGTGTTGTTGACGGACGTGTCATATATGGTCGCTCTTAAGCACAAGGGGGCTATCCCGAAAAATGCTGTTTTGAGAAAATCGAAGGTAAAGTTTTTGTCCCTTGTTCAGTTTCTTTGACAGACAAGGAGAGTTTTTTCTATATCCAAATGAATATGCACACCAATGAAACTAAACTTCTCCTGTGGGTAGGGCAATGCCCTTTTTTTGGTGTTGGTCAAGATTTCTGGAAACCCCCGAAATCTGAGTTAGCCCGTTTGTCCTTAAAAGCGATCATATGTGCGTCTGTGGTGTAGTGGTTAGGCACTTCATTGTTGGAGGCAGGAGACGTAAGTTGGATTCCTGATACATCAGTGCCTGCTATACACCCCAAGTGAGAATTTGACAAAATGTGTCTTTAAGCAATTGCTTAAATTTATTGCAGTATTTTACAAATTGTGTCTCAAGTAATTGCTTAAATTTATTGCAGTATTTTACAGAATGAATCTTAAGCAATCGCTTAAATTTATTGCTCTATTTTACTAAATGAGTCTTAAGCTATCGCTTAAATTTATTGCTGTATTTTACAAAATGAGTCTGAAGCAATCGCTTAAATGTATTAATTAAAATGAATCTTCGGCTCATTTGTTCGTTGTTGTCTCGTTTTCTTCCTCCATCAGGAGCCGACCAACAGCCAGACGTCAGCAACAACAACATGTGTCTGGGCAGATTTTTCCAGAAAACTTTGATGTTCATAACCAATCGGATTGTGATTCGAGGTCGTTATGTCATCATCGGTAAGTCTTGTGAAGGCTCAGTTTGTTGAAGTGGTGTCGGGGGCCTAGTGGTTAGGCTACCGGACTCGTAATCGTGAGATTGCGGGTCTGGGGGTTCGAGCCTCAGCTTGGTCCAACGTTCTGTCCTTGGGAAAGGCACTTTACACGAAATTCCCATTTGGCTCGGTCCTTTCGGAAATGGACATTAAACACGGAGGTCCCTCCTCTTAAATAACCTAACAGTGTTTAACCTATACCCTATTTTCAATTTGTTCATTACACTTTTCTTTCTTTTTTATGTGTGTTTTTGTAAATAGAAATGTGTAAGGTGTGATGGTAGTTTACCATGCGGATTTGTAGTTATTGAAAGATTTATGGGCTGTTGGCGGGTGCTCTGGTGTGCTGCTTGTGAAAAGCTTTTAGGCTTGATTGAATCAGCATCTTTGCAGTTTCTTCAGAGAATGTTTCTAGACCACCCATGATGGGTGTTTATTTCTTTCGTTACTCTTTTTTCATTTTAGGTGTATATTCTTTTTCAGCTCCTCCTAAAAATGGAAAGTATATGAGATGTGCCGCTGAACTGTGAAAACGGTTTATTCTCCAGGTTTTTATGCAGCCGTTCTGATTGCCAGCTGCGTGTTGATGTCCCAGCTGCAGCCGTCCACCCACCCGCCCCAGCTGTTCCGGCCCGACACCAACATACAGCGCCTGCTGGACCTGAAGGCCAACTTGAGCATCATCGACACTCTGCACTGCGACCAGTGCTCCGGGCTGTACAAGGTGCGCTTGTCTGGTTGCTCTTTGTCTGCTTGTTCTTGATCGCGTCACAGTGAACGTGGGTGGTTGGCGGGTGCTCTGGTGTGGTTTGCTCCTTCTTTCCTATCAAACATCTATCGTCCTTATCTCCCCTTCTTTTTTAAAAAATGTTTGTTACTCTCTTGTTACACCTCTAATCTTCCGGTGCTTATATGACCTTAGGCAGTTTCGAGCGCCGTAAAACCTCTACTAAATACTAAAACTAAAGAAGTTAACGTCCTACGTCTGTCGTAATACTGGGCTGCCCTGCTCAGTTCCTCTGTTGATGTAATTGTGTGTATGTTTTTTGTTTATTTTGTGTCCTTGATGCATATATTTGTGCTATTGGCCGCTTGTAATGATTTTGAATGTTACTGTTATGGTAACCTGTTCCTTGAGATGTGTTGCTATTATCCTGACAAGTCATATTGAGAATATAACTCAATGCCAGGCATTTATCATTGTGTATCTGTGTATCTATGAATACGTACATGCTCAGATGGGTACTTTTATGTGTACTTACTTCTAAATACTTGAATGTAGAGCTGGGGTCTTTGGAAGACGGGATGCTCCATGCTTCCTCGCCCCTCTTCATGAGGGTCCATTTCAGTGTGGCAGGCTGATTGTCTCCGTCATCAGCTAATAATAATCACGACGGACATAAAACTTTTTCTTTGAAGAATTAAGACATCAAGGAGAAAAAGTATCTTTTATCGCTGATTTTCCTCCTCAACAGGTTCACTCTAGCTCCCCTCACCATGTGTCCAGTTCTAACGTGCACGTTCCTCCCACCCCTCCGAAAAACCGACACGTGTCACCGCTCCCCGCTGACAGTGGCAGGCATTCAACTCCGAGACCTCCGCCACATGGCGACGGCGGCTCACGCGGAACAGTCGCACCTCATGAGGGGACAGGTCAAGGTCAGAACGTACCCCACAACTCCGACTCTAGTCATGGGGAAAACAACAAAGCGAGTGATGGAGACGCTTCATCTTCAGGTGACCAAAAATCCGTGCTAACCTCGATGCTTGAGGATACGCTGGCAAAGCTGTCCTCAATGTATGGCTCAGGGTCCTCATCATCAACATCGACAGATTCATCATCTTCGTCCTCACAAGCTTCTCCTCAAAACACTCATGATGATGATACTGGGAATTCACAAGAAAAGAACAAGCTCCCCGATAGTGGATCCTCGTCCGATACGTATGACGGACTTCCGCCACCACCAACAGGGCGTCAAGAAAACAACAAACCGTCTAGCAATCCTCGCACACACGGCGCCCAATCTGGCTGGGACCTTCACAACGACGATTTCAGAAAAGGTAAACTTTTTAGGTCACCTCACTTTGCTAAGCTTTATGAGACGTATTAATATAAGTTTTTCTTTCCAGGGGGGACCTAAGTTTGCATCATGCTGCATCTTGAATGTATTGGCTAGTCCTACCTCGTTTTGCGTCTCCCTGCCTTTTATCTTACCCTTTTCCTTTGAGACAGGTTTTCCCACCAACGCGAAATAAGATCATCATTGTCCCATTTTTTCCCCCTAAAAGCCATACCCAGCTACAAAAGGACAGCCTTTCCGCGGGTGATTTCTGATGTATATTTTTATATTTCACGGCTCTCTATATCCCTGTTTATCAGTTGCCTATTTTGCCCTCCCTTCGTACCCTCCCCCTCCCCGAGTTGCCCAAGTCTCAGTCATAGTAAAACAGCAAATGTTCGAGTCACTTGTCCACAGACCTATAATATTCTCACAGAAAATAGCATTTTTTTCTTCTGTTTCTCATATTTATTTGAGTCTGAGTCATACCTAATGTATGAGTCATAGTCTATGAGGCGTTCTCCTCAACCAGTGGAACAAATGTTTATTTAAAGCAAATTGACACACTGAAGTGATACACTGCACTATATATTCACGAGAGAAGGATAATAAAATGAAGCTTTGTGGGTTTTATATAAAACTTGCACAGTCAAGGGTTGCAAATAAATAAAATAGTAGACCAAAGCATTTTATTGCTCTAGTGATTGTGCGATGTATTACGCTTGCGTGGTTTAAGTAAAGACTTAATGGGTTCTCAGCAGCTCCTCTTCTAAATGTTTCTCTTGTCTCCCTTTAAAAAAAAAAGTGGTGCCTTATGATGATCATTACATGGTTTCTTTATTTTAGAGTCGAAGTCAATAATATTTTGTGTCAGAGGTAATTGGTTTTATCGTTGCTTCTATCGTCAAAAGTAAAACGAACATCAATTTCAGATTTAGGATTATATTGAAGATAAGTGTGTGACTGCAGTCACTGTAAACTGTATGACTAGCTGTTAGTGATGAGGAAAAGTAGAACCAAAGAGTACGTGAATACCGAAAGGAATAGATTGTCAGAGAATGAACTCCAGGAATTAAAATTACGACAGTTGGTTACCATTAATAGCGATATGGTCTTATTATTCCCCAAAACGCTGCTGTTATAATTTGGACTGTACTTTAAAAGAAATCCGAGAAATGTGAGGTTTCTTGCCATTGCAGAGGCCACAAGTCATCGTAACCTTTAATTCTTCTATTTCACGGAAGAAATATTCTCCTGTGGGAATGTATTAGTCGCATTCAGGCATTAACAAACAAATTATCATCATTGCTATTATTATTATTTTTATTATTATTATCATTATCATTGCTATTATTAATATTAATATTCAGCACACATCCTGGTACTGAAAGTCGAAAGTAGCTGAGTTTGCATCAGTGGTCAACATGGGTGCTGCTTTCAGTATGCTAGAATTGTTAAAATGTTCCGACATTAACTGCTGTATTTCCTGAGTCAACTTTTTCGTACTGAAAGGAATTGAAGCTTGTATTGACTCATACCTCTCAGCGTGTTAAAAGAAAAAGAAAAAACTATAGCTTGGCAGTTTGAAAATGAGCGTTGAGAAATTTATGGGGAAGTTATTTGCTTTGGTTTTAAAAAATGCATTTTAATCATTGAATGTTGGCCTTTTCAGAAGTTTGCTATTTTAATTTGTACATGTTGTTCTGGTTATCTAAAAGCTTGCTTTATATTTGTGTAGTATCGGCTTGTTTCTGTTGAGCAAAAGGCTTTTACCTGTGCCTTTTGACGAAAACGTAGGGCAAGCATTCGTCGTTAAAAACAAATTCCAGAGAAGGCAGAAACCCCCCAACAAAACCAGTGAGATAAATTTATCCGATTGTTAATGTGAGTGGAAAATAACTGAAGCTGAAAATGTTTGGAGTACAATTTGTAACAATGAAGGATATTGTACGTGTATTTGTAAAAAAAAGTGGATAGGTGTGGGGTTTTTTATAGCGTGACCAGTGGTATTTTTTTCCCCCTTTTTTAAAATCCTTAAAAAATTTCTATCGTTTCCTTTTTTCCAGCAATGTTTGGTCTGCATTGTGTAGACAAGCTTTTTGATTTATGTACACTGGGCTTTTTTCGTGTGCTCTTTTTTCCACGTTCTGGACGCTTCGTTTTTTGACAAACTTTTTGAATTCGAGATTTATTTGAATCGCCCAGTGATGTCATGTACATTGTCTGACACACTTTTAAATGTATACTAGAATACGGGCCTCTCATCTTTATGTGCATCTAAAATCTAGTGCTGTGCAGGGCAGAAAACTAGCTCGAGCTCTGAGGAAACTCTGGTTGCGGGCTTATATACCCGCGTGGATCTAATTGTGTGCGTTTTTCCAACACACGCAGACTGATGTGCCGTATTGAAGCAGATTCTGTCTGAATTCTTGTGAGAGGTGTGAATAGTGCTTGTCAATACCATAGCCTGCTTTGTCTCATGTTGTACAATTGATTGGGGGGGGGG